TCAGGGCCTTTGCACATTCTCTTTGTCTAGAACTCCACTCCCCCAGGTGGCTCAGTGGTAAAGAATCCACCTGCCAGTGCAGGAGACCCAGGAGACCTGGATTCGATCCCTGGGTTGGGAAGATTCCCTGGAGGAGGAAATGGCAACCCGCTACAGTATTCTTGTCTGAAGAATCCCAGGGACAGAGGAGGTTGATGGGCTACAGTCCGCAGCGTCGCAAAGAATGCGCCTCCCCCAGTGAATTCCTCTTGTGCTTCAGGTCTCCCCTCAAATGTCCCATCTTCTTGGAACTTTTCCTGAAACCCTAGGGAGGAGATGGATCTCTGTTTCCTGCCTTCAGAAGGATGTACCACAAAGTCCAGTGTGGGCCATGTCACTGAAGCTCTTCCTCATGTTCAAGGACTCACGTAGCGCCCAGCCCATAGCAGGCATATAATAAACCCTGGGAAGGGCTTCCCTGTTGGCACGACTGGTAAATAATCCACTGCCAATGCAGGAGACACAGGTTCAATTTCTGGGTCAGGAAGATCCCCTGAAAGAGGAAATGGCACCCCACTACAGTATTCTTGCCTGGAAAATTTCATGGGTAGAGGAGCCTGGTGCGCTACAGTCCATGGGGCCGCAAAGAGTCAGATGCGACTGAGCAGCTGACCACACACAAATCCTGGGAAGAAGAAGGGACACGCCAGGCCGTTTGGTTTCCAAAGCTTAAGGTCTTGGACCATCATCCCCCAGTGGTTTTTTCTTTTAAGCAAAGGAAATGTAGTTTCAACGTCTCCAATGAAACTCCAACATCCAGAGCAGATAAAAGAGAAACTGCTCTGTTAGAAGGATGGGGCAGGGTCCTGGGGGCTGGGAGCCCTGCTCATCTCCACTTGGTCCCTTAAGATTGAAAGTTCTGGGTTCCCCAGCAATTCCCTGGTGGTCCACTGGTTAGGACTCTGTATTTTTCACTGAAGGGGGCACGGGTTTGATCCTTGGTCTGGGAAATAAGATCCTACATTGTTGCACGGCATGACCAAAAAAAAAAGAAAGAGAAAGAAAATTCTGGGTTCCCTGCCATGTGAACATGGAGGTATGGGGGCAAGGGGCTAGATGTGGCTTTTCAGGCAAGGGGAGGAGGTCCAGAATTAAGGGGTTTCCTTTAGTCCAAGGCAATCCTCTTAAACATGCCTAATCAGATCATTAAGCCTATTAGGTAATTAGCCCCCCAGGGTTCCTCTCCATCCGTCTTCCTAAGCAGCCCCCCCAACAAATGACTTCCTTCCCTGAGCTCACAGAGGTAGCCCCTTGCCTGCCCTTCCCCTCAACCGGACACAGAGACGGGGGCCGGTTCTCCATCTTTGGCAGGTTTAGAAGGATGGGGAGGGTTTTCTCACAAGAACTCCATCCTCTTTCCTTCTTTGATTTCATTCCCGATCTTTTCTCCAGCCAGGGCCACTTCCTCAGCTTCCCTCTTGAAGACGGTTCCGAAGAAAACTGGGGACACCCTCACGTCCCTCGCTCACACTTCCTCAAGTTTTGTCTGAGAATCTCTGAATGAAATGACAGAAACAGCCCTCGACTGAGTGGACTTCTGTCACGGATGGGTGGTGTGGCCTTGGGTGAGTCACCTCACCTCTTTGGGCCTCTGTTTTTTCATCTCTAAAATGGGGACAGGATAGCACCATCTTCTGGGGTTAACTGTCATTCATTCAAGTACTTAGGATGGTCTCAGGCACGTAGACCACTTTAGAAACGTCAGGTATCAAGACATCATCATCACAATCATCATTTTTACTATTACCTATTTCATGAACACAGGCAAAGCTCCTATCACAGTGTCTGGCGCACACTAAGTGCTCTATCAATGGGGAAATGAGCCTCAAAGGTTTGGGGTTTTGTTAGGAAATAGGAGGATGGGGGGACGCCACTTCCTTCATCACCTCTCCCCAGGCTTCTCCCTGCTTTTTGGAGGAGGAACCTCCAAATGGTTTCTCATTGATAAGAAACCAGGCTCTGCTTCCACTTGCCCTCCAGCATCTAACTCTTCCTGAATTGCTGCATCCCTCCGTACTATTATTTCCTTGCTTTTTCTCTCCCTTCCTTCCTTTCTCCCTCCCTCTCTCCAACAAATCCTTCCTGAGCACCCACTACGTGCCAGGCCTTGTTTTAGATCCTGGGGACATAGCCGAAAACAAGACAGACAGTCCATTCCCTCTTAAAATGTAAATGAATCTATTTAAAGAGGATGTTGAAAAAAATCATTGCTAATAGAGTTTGAAGGACTGGTTATATTTTTTTTCCTCCTAAAGTACATTCATCTAAACCCAAAATGATTCCCCCGAAAAAGTCTGGCCATGGAATCCCCGCTTAAACCACTTTGTGGGTGCCTGGTGGTCCCTATATCAGATTAGTGGAAGTTTGGAGGCCCCTCCTCAGAGGTCAGGGTCCTACAGAGAGTGATCAGTCGAGACCTCCCCCCTGTAGAAGCTCAGAATTCTAAGATCCTGGAGTCCCCATGGCAGCCCATCGTCTGCTCCAGTGCTCTGCAGAGTCTTCTCCATTCCCCATTGTGGGAAGCTCACCTCCTCCAGGAAGGAGCCAGGCTTCTATCTGCCAGCCTGCCTCCAAGCAAAGAGCAGACGTGTGACGTCAGCCAAACCCGGAAGCCCCCGGACCTCACATATCCCACCCTGTTTGAACAACCAAGGTTCTGCCTGTGAAAAAGTTCTTTCTACTGAAGCAAAATGCCAGCACTTTCCACCTGCCCACCCTTCCCCCACTCCCTTAGCTTTTCCCTGGGGGTCCAGCTAGTTGCTCCCTCTATAGAGGATGGCAACTAAAGATGCCAATTTCAGCTCTCCTGGTTCCCCTCTGCTACAATTTCAATATTTCCACCTTGGGGTCGGGCTGTCTTTCCTTCTTATAGTCATTCTGGGTTTCTGGTCTCCTCCACTCCCATGTCCCTGCTCCTCAGGAAAGCTTATAAAGGCTTCCAACAAGGAACCAATACTACTCTACCTCCATAAATAATGTTGACTTACCCAAGAGATTTGGGGTGCTATGAACGGGTAGAGTAGCCCTCTTTTTTTTTTTTTTTTTGGCTGTGTTGTATGGCTTGTAGGATCTTAGTTCCCTGACCAGGGATTGAACCCATGCCCTTGGCAGTGAAAGAATAGAGTCCTAACCACTAGACCGCCAGGGAATTCCCAAGAGTGGCACTTTTTACTCAGCACTGACGGTGAAAGATGGTTTGGATGCAGGAGAGGGGGCTGTTCATGACAAAGGTAGGACAGAAGTGAATGTGGCAGAGGTGGGGTTTTTGGCTGTATGTTTGGGCGGAACCTAAGTAGGGGTGTTGTACTCATGGTACCTGCTCTTGTGTGGGGGCAGGGGTGTTCTGTGGAGGTCTGAGGAGGCTGGGGTGGGATGCTGATATTGTCATTGGGAATGTGTGAGGATGCTGGTGGTGGAAAAGAGACCGGGGGTGTGGCTGGTACCACTGAGGAGGGGCGGGACATTGGTGGGTGATGTCTTTCTGTGAATGATGGTGCTGCCTGTCCTTGCGAGAGATATAATACAACCGAGACATGCTTCTGAAGGGATGAGATGCCAAGAGGTGTGATGCTGTCTTTGAGCTGTGACGCTCTCTCCAACAGAGAGATGGACGGGGCGTGATTTCCTCTGGGCAAATCACCAGTGGATCGTGAATCAGGAACGTGACATTCTCCATAGCAATAATAATAACGACGGCTATTGTTTATTGAGAGCTTACTATCTGCCAGACCTGATACTGTGTATCAGGCATCTTGCTGAACTCACACAACGGCACTGAACCCACATACACAATCTCACCGAACCCACACAACAGCCTGGAGTGGTAGAGGTGGATATTACGGTTCCCATTTTCCAGATGAGGAGACTGAGGCTCAGAGCAGTGAAAGAATGCGCCCAAGGGTCACACACCAGGCACGTGACAGTGACAAAATGAACCCCGGAGGCTCTCACTCCAGAGCTAGTAACCTTGGTGATAACTGTGTTAAAGATCGAGGACCTCAGGAGCAAGGCCTGGCTGGTGTCAGCTATGGTTGGGCTGTGAGGTCTGTGTGCGTGTGTATGGGGGAGTTGATGTTTCTGTATATGTGGGGGTGACAGAGATGGGAATACAATCAGGTGTATAGGGGGCAGCCTAGTGGCATCTTAAGAATCTGTGGGACTTCTCTGGCGGTTCGGTGGTTAGGATTCTGTGCTTTCACTGCCGGGGCCTGAGTTCGATCCCTGGTTAGGGAACTAAGATCCTACATGCCTCATGGTATGGCCAAAAAAAAAAAAAAGAGTTATCGTCTGTACTCAAGGGGGACGCTCTTTGTTACTGTGCCATCAAACTGGGACTACGTTTTTCTGATGAATTCCCAACCGGAGTCTCCACTCAGCCTCTTCGTTCAAGCCTGCCTGTCCTTAGTGCCTCGTCTCCCTCCCAACGACGTCTGCCTGCCAGTCACAGTGGCCAGAAGCCGCTTTTAACAGCCATAGTCTGCTCTACCAGCCCCTAAGCTAGCCCCGTGGGCAGGAGTTCAGTCTGCTGGGGCTGGAATGACTTACTGCGCAAGTGCCTTATATCCTGAGCCTCAGTTTCCTCGACTGAAAATGGGGTTCACTATAGTGTCTACTCAAGCGATGGAGCCAGTCTCCTGAGTTCAAATCCTGGCTCTGCCTCTTATTCGCTGACTAACCTTGGGCAAGTTAATTAACCTCTCTGTGCCTCAATGTGTCACCTATAAGATGGGTAACATAATAGGATTGCAAGGATTATTAAACGATTGGTGAGTGCCAAGTGTTTTCCATAATACTTCTGATGTACTGTGGCACCATAAATGTCATTGCTACAATTTATTATTATTATTATCACATCATAGAGTGTTGGGAGAATTAAATGAAATACTGCATGTAAGGTATTAAGCAATAAAATTGTTAGCTACTATCATCATTCTGATTATTTTTATTTCCCCATTTGGCAGATGGTGACACTGAAGCTCAGAAAAGGAGTGAGGTTGACCCAGCATCCCACAGACATGAAAGTATTATTGGAAGGAGCCCTCAATTTTGAGATGGAAAGTCCTGGACGCTTGCCCAGCCCTGCCCCTGAGCATTTCTGTAAATGGAGGACTGTCCTTTCGTGTCTCCTGGCCTCAGTTTCCCCTGGGCCAACAGACGGAGGTGGACGAGTCGGGAGGACAGGGTCCCTACGGGTCCACCCTAGTTTCCCCCCTGTTGGAGGAGGCAGGACACACGGGCTGGTTGAGCACATGGGAACCAGGCAACCCAGGGTTGGAGAGATCCCGGTTCCCCCACTTATGAGCAGTGTGACTTCAGACAAGTGGCTTCATTTCGCTGAGCCTCAGTTTTCCTCATCTGAAAAAGCAGCTCAAATCATCTCCCCTGAGGATTGTATTGGGAGATTTCCCCACGTTTCCGAGCCTGAGTCGTAGTAGGTGCCAAACGCTAGGACTTCACCGTCCTTGGCAGCATCACTGTTAAATGGTGCTGTTTTGCTCTGACTGCTCAGATTGTGAACATTTCAGCCCCTTTAAGAGAAGACAGGGATGAGATCTCTTCCCTCCCCCCAGCAGGGGTGGGGCTGGACCACCAGACTGGGCTCAGGGCTGACCGCCTAGGTCCCCGACCCTCTCCAGGACTGGGAATGGCAGTGAGGCAGGAAGGAGGCAAGGAAGTGGCCGGGACACATTCATGCGTGTGCTGGGGGTGGGGGAGCAGGAAGGAGGACAGGAAACTCCCTCCCACCCCTCCCCCAACTTCCCTTTCCTCCAATTTCTGCTGGACACCCTCAAAGGCAGCCAGGGGTTCCCCGATTCCTATCTCACCTGGACAGGGGTGGCAGGGGGCTGGGATGGGAGGAAGAGATTCAGCTCCCCGTCATCTGAGGAGAGGAGGTGGGAGGTCCCCACCGCACCCACTAGAAGAGCTGCGCTCTGCCCCAGGCCACCCCTTTCCCATCCGGAGGAAGAGGCCAGAGGAAGCGTTAAGATTTTGGCCAAGGTGACCGCTGGGAGGGGCATGTCTGCTCTGGGGTCTCCCTCCTTCCAGGGAGCTAATGGGCTGGGCTCTCTGAGTACCCTGACAAGCCCTACCCCGTGGGCAGATATACACCTAGAGTTCCCAGCTTGGCTTTTATTCTCTGGTCCACATACCTCTTCTCACACACACAGTGAGGGTCCCTCTTGTCTTCTACACACACCCCTTCTGTGTTGTCAAACATTCAGCCATCACACACACACACACTCCCTTGTCATACGCACAGAGAATCATCCACGCCAACCATTTCACACACAACCCCTTGTTACACATATACACACACTCGGGTGTCACACACAGACCTTCCCTTTTCACACCCCTTGGGTGTCACATGCACACGTTCCTGCTCCCTGTCACATGGGCCCCCATCCTTCCCTCTCCTTGTTACACACCCTCGTGAATTTCACCCAGCCTCTCCCCCGTCATACACCCACCTTCCCTTGTTGCACACACCCCCTCTGATGTCACCGTTGCACACCTCCATGTGTCACACCCAGCCACAGCCTCTCTGGAGTCACACCCACACTCTTTTCTTGTCATACACCCTCACCAGCTTCTCCTGGTCCCACCCCACCCAGGACACGCCTGTGTCACACACACTGAACTGCCGCCTTCTCATCCACACGGTCTCTCGTGGTTCATACCCAGAGCCGGCCCAATCGGTAGCCCACACACACCCCCTTGCATGTCACACAGACCCTCTCACTCACTCTTCCACAGTCCCCTCTGGGGTGACATGCACATACTTGTCACACATAGCCCTCCGAGGGTCTCAAACATGAAGCCCAGCCCCTTTCATCTCTTACACACACACACACACCCTTCTTCCTGTCATATCCATGATCCATAATGTCACACATCCAGGCCCAGGGCTCACACACATACACATGAACACACACACGCACCTGTCCCGACCACACATTCTCTCACTGAGCTTTCCACACCCACCTTTTCCCCCATGTCACCCAACACACGCACCCAGCTTGTCCCCAGCACAATCCCGCCCGTGGCCCACACATGCCTCCCTCGGGCGCAACCCTGGCTCAGGACATCCCCGGGGAGGCTCCAGGTCCACAGGCCTCCTCAGCTCCTTCCCCTCCCCCCGCCAGGACACGCCAGGTCGGGGACACCCCTGCCCCGAAACGGTCACATCACACACCCCTCAAGGACACAGAGACACCCGCTCGGAGGGACCCACGCCCCCCATCCTTCGCGCGCCCCCAAGGACACTTACCACCCCCTCCCCCTCAGCCCCTCTCATCGCAGACAAAGCTCCGGGCCCGGGGCCCGCGGCGAGAGGGGGAAGGGGGCCGGTTCCCTCCCCAACTCCCCTCTCCTTTCCCCAGTCTAGGGAGGGGCGCCCTTCCCCTCCCCTGAGCCCTTGCACCTGCCATTTGCGGGGGAGGACGGTGGAGAAAGGCGAGGCCCCCTGCCCGCTCCCCCACGCCGAACCGCAGCCCTTTCTCACCTCCCGTGTTGCTGCGCTTGGTGCAGACCACCTCGGGGGGCGTTTCGAGGGGCCTCTTGCGGGAATCCGGGGCCTCGGGCTCCATGGGGGGGGCCTGGGGCGGCGGCTGCTGCTGCTGCGGCTGCTTATACCGGGAGAGGCTGAAGAAGAGGCCTAGGATGGCCTTGAGGTTTCCATTCCTGATCTCTGCAAGACAACGGGGAGATTCTGGTTAGAGGAGGAAGCCCTTCTGGGGAGCCCTGTCTCGCACCCTTTTAGGAGGCGGTTTCAGCCCTCTGGGATGGGGGAGGGGGAACCCCGGAGAGGGGAGAAGGGAGGGAGCTGGTTCTGGGGGGCTGACAGAGCCCGGAGAGCGGATGTGAGCGGGACGGGAGGGAAAAGGGGGTCTCGGAGAGGGCCCTGAGAGAACTGAGGGGTGGGGTCTGTCGCAAGATCACAGAGGCCGGGGACTGGCCACTCCACTGGAGGGGACGGGACCCCTTTCTTTGCTCCCCGGGCAGAGGGCCGAGCCCCCCAGACCCTGCCCGGGGCGGGGGGCCGGAGGAACGGGGCCGGAGGTAGGAGGCGGAGGCGGCCGCTAGTGGGGACCCGGGGGGTGGCGAGCGCGGGCGGCAGCGGCGGCTGGGCTGGCGGTGGTTGCTGGCCCGAGCATCTTCTTCCCGGAGACTCCCACAGCGGCCTGGCCCCTCCCACCCGCGCAAGGTCACGCCCATGCAGGTCAGGGCCACGCCCTTCGGCGCCCCATTGGTCTGCCCTGGAAGCCTGCACCACGCCCCTTGTGTTGACCACGCCCCTCCCCGCAGGCACAGGAGGGACCAGGCTACAATAAGGACCCTGAGCTCCTCCACACGTTCCCCACCCCTCGCCGTAATGAGCGTTTATTGAGCACTTACCATGTGCCAGGTCTGGTTCTCAGTAAGCACGTCACAAACATTTGACCTTACAGCAACCAACTCTGTGAGGTATTCCTGTTGTCTCCATTTTACTGATGAGGAAACTGAGCCTCAGTCACCGGATATCACTTGGTCGCGATAAGAAAGCTTGCTTTAAATGTCTCCCACCCCTGACAACTGTGAAATTGTTCCTCAAATCTTTCATCTCTCACTTGAAGAATCAACAAAGTTACTTCAAGGGCTCAGGGAATTGAGTCAATGGGCACCTGACTTAAAACACAGAGCGCTGATCCTAGCACCCAACTGACAATCAGTCCAATCGATAGCATTTAACAAACCTTCCAAATGTCAGGCACTGTCCCAAACACTGGGATACAACAGGGAATGAAACAGTTTTGGTCCAGTTTTGAAAGAGTAAGTATTACTATACATGGCATTAAGAAAACCTGATTTTCAGATAACAAGATGGAGGCCCAGGAACGTGGAGGGTGTCTTGTCCAAGGACACACAGGTAGATAGAGGGAAAACTGGGATTAAAGCACAGGACAAGCTTAATTTCAGAGCCCAAAGTCACTGTAAGTAGGGGCCCCTTCCTGAGAGTGAATCATTGCTAATATTTGATTTTGTCTGATACATGAATTTTCTTCTCCCTGGATTTCTGGTCTTCAAGGATTCTTTCTCCTTCCTAGGTCAGCCAGAGGCAAGATTTGGCTCAGAGAGGGCTTGAATGGGGGTAACTGTGGCAGCTGGGGGGCCCCCCTCCTTCTGCTCTGTCCCACTCCTGTCCCTTCTTTGCCACGCTCTCAGTTCCCCAGGATGGGATGGGGAGGGTAGCAGATGGCCTGGGGTGGATGGGGTGGCCGCCCATCTGTCCCCTCCCCCTGCATTGTCCCCAGAGCCAAGGGGGATGGGAGGGGGTCGTGGTCCACTGCAGTCTGGATCCTCCCCTTCCATCTTCTTGGAGGGAGCTGAGGAGCTGGTTGCCATGGAGACAGGGAAGAGGCAGGGGGATGCAGGGAGATACTGGGGTCAGGCAGAGATCCACACCTTTGACCCGTCAGGCCACATATACTCACATCACACAGGTATATATACCCCAGCATCCATGGAGTCAGATGTGAAGTTCCCCCCAACACAGAGTCACACAGGGCCCCCCTGCAGACACACAGGTGCACACTCAACAGTTTGACACAGGCACACTCTGATATATGAAGACTCACAGAAGATAGACACACACACACACTGACATACAGATGCCCATCATACATAATGTGCATTCACTCATGTGGACCCAAAGCCACACCACAGGCTCTCATGCACAAAAGATACATATCTGAGTGTGTCCCAGGTGCCCCTGTTCAGAGCCAAAACAACCCCAGAGCCAAAACAACTCCACACTTGGCCACACACACACTGAGAAGTTACAAGGATATGATCAAAACCACAAGACGTACACAGCCTATGTTACATAAGGCATACATGCTAGTGACATGTGATATACAGACTGACAAACAGACTCAATTATGTCTTCCACACTAATTGGGGAATCACGCACGTTTAGATACATAGCCCATGTAGACTAAAGCACAAAATGCACGGGACCTCCCAGGCTACTCAGCGACGCTCGTAACACACACAGCTCTGTGTTCTGCTCAGCCCCCACCCTCAAGTCATGCCTGCAGTTGCAGCTCCACACCACACCCCCCACAAGCCCTCCCGTTTGGACACACACAACAGCACGGTCGGTCACGCACTCACACTCACACACAAACACAAACCTCCTCCTAGATATTTTTAAACCCAGGCTAGTTCTGCTGCTATGGCAACCACCCCAAACCCATCGCCATAGCAACCTAACGTCAGCTTTCCAAGCACCAAATCCTGGGGGATTGCAGGGCCCCAATCAGAGGCCGGTGGAGGGGGTTGTTGCACCCTCTGCCGTCATCCGTGCCACCCCAGTGACCTCACCTTAGACCCTTTAGGGAAGCACTCACCCTAGGCTGTAGAAGGAGGGCTATAAGACCCCTGGACGGAGCTGCAGGTGAGGGCAGATCTCAACTAGCTTTGTCCTGCCCCATCAGAGCTTTATGGAAGGGCTCATGGGACAAAGGTCAACCTGGGCTGGACACACACAAGCCTGGCTTTGAAACCTGGCTCTGCCATTTACCTGCTCTGTGGCTTGGGCATGTCCTTACCCTCTCTGAGTCTCCTGTTCCTTAATCTGGAAAATGTTCTTGCTGCTGATGCTCACATTCTGAAGGACTATTCTTTTTTTTTTTTTTTGAAGGACTATTCTGACTTAGTGGTTAAAAGCCCAGGCAAATTTGCATCCACATTCTGACTCTCCCACTTCCTAGCTGTGCTAACTCAGGCAGGAACCTCCTCTTCTCTGTGACAACGTTGGGGGGAAGATATCAGTCCAATTACACAGGGCAGTTGGGAAGATTCCCAGTCAAGGTGTGTGGCCACTGCTCTAAGAACTTTGCACAAATCCCAGCGTATTTAAGTCTTAAGCATGGTTTCATGGGTAGGTATTATCATCAGTCCTATTTTGCAGAAAAGGAAATCGAGGCTCAGTGAGCTTGCCTGGCATCACACAGCTACAAAGTTTTGAAGCAGGTAATTTGAAGCCAGGCAGTCAAAGATGCTTCCTTAGCCATTTATCTCTCCTGACTCGAAAAGAGTGGATTCTTGGAAATGCTTTCTAGCCTCAGTTTTCCAACCTGTAAAATGGGGGTTCAAATAGTATGGCTGGATGGAGTGTTGAAGAATTTGACGGGCTCTGGAGATGAGTTGTTCTTCAGGTCAGTGGGGAAGAGACTGGGAGGGGCAGGGCAAGAGGGCAAGTGGGCAGGCTCAAGAGGGAGGTTGGCTAGGACTGAGCCCTGCTCTCCTTCTTCCCAGCCTGGGGACCTCAGACTTGAGTGTTCTCCAGTATGAGCCTCAGTCTCACCGTCGGTCAACTGGAGTCTTAACAGTGCTCCCAGTGTGGCTCAGAGTCGAAGACGAAAGCAGGTAAAATCACTTGGCATGGGTCCCAGCCAAGAGAGAAATCTAAGCCGATATTAACATCATCCATCCAGTCTGTGCATGGGATTTACGAGAGGCAGTCTGTGTAGTGCAGGGTTTGGCAAAATATTTTGAGCCACAGTAAGAAACACATTGCCATCATGATTCCAATGCATAACACACTGAGACAAAAGTTTCTTGAAATCATACTTCTCCTGTACCTTCATCCATACTATGTCTATACTATGTGCCCTGACTCTGATCCTCTCTAGACTACTGAAAAAGGCTGGTTGACTCCACGGTCTGCTCACTGTATGAAAAACCCTGGTGGGGAGGTTACAAGGTGGAATCCTGGAGTTTTTGGAGGATTTTAAGCAGGGGAGTGACATGGGAATGAAAAGGGCAATGGAGGGGAAGGGGCCGGCCTGGGGTCTGTTTAGACCCTAGAGAGGAGGGGGTTTTTGCCTGAATGCCAGCAGGGGCAGGAGAGGTGGAGGGGTGTGATCTCTTTGCACGGACCCTTGCCAAGTGATTTTACCTGTTTTGGTCTTGGACTCTTGGCCACACCGGGAGCACTGTGGGGTACATAGAATAGTTAATGTGGGGGATTGAACACAGTGTATTGTGGTTATGAGCATCAGACCTAAAGGCAAATCCTCCGTCCATCCAACGAAGAAATTTTTGAGGGTTTACTACATGTTGGACGTTGTCTTAGGCACTGGAGATGGGGCAGTGAACAAAATAGCCAGCCATTCCTGACCTCGGGAGCTCATGTTCCAGGGAGGAAGAGGATAAAAAGCAAAAGAAGTAACATATAGTCTGTTGGTAAGTGCCACAGAGAAAAATAACACCAAGGAGGGATGAGGGATTGGGGTGCAGGGGATTGGAGGGAGGCTGAAGTTTTGTTTTTTCTTTTGAATGAGCCAAGCAGCTTGTGGGATCTTAGTTCTCTGACCAGGGAGTGAACCCGGGCCCTCATCAGTGAAAGTGTAGAGTCCTAACCCTGAGACTACCAGGGAAGTCTCTACAATTTTAAATAAAGTGAGTGACAAGGAAGACCTCGCCAAGGAGGTGACCTCTGAGCAGAAGAGGAAGGAGGTGAGGCAGCCAGCCATGTGGGTCTCTGGAGGAAGAGAGGGTGCAAAGGTCCTGAGGCTGGAGTGCACCTGGCCTGTTGGAGGAAGAAGGAGGCTCCCAGGGAAGCCAGAGAAGAGTTGCAGAGGGGAGAGCAGGAGGGGTCAAGGCAGAGAGGAGTTAGAAAGGGAACACACTGTGTCTGCCTTGAGGGCTATTGTAAAGACTTGGCTTTGACTTCGAGTGAGATGGGCACCATGGGAGGATTTGGAGGAAGGACTTGAGTCAATTTACGGGTTTTTTAAAAAAATTTAATACTAGCAATGACTTTCTTTTTAAAAAATTATTTATTTGGCTGTGCTGGGTCTTAATTGCAGCATGTGAACTCAATTGCAGCTTGTGGGATCTAGTTCCCTGACCAGGGATCAAACCCGGGCCCCTTGCATTGGAAGCACGGAGTCTTAGCCACTGAACCCCCAGGGAAGTGCCTGAGTTAGGTTTTATCACAAGCTCTTTCTGGCTGTACATGAAGAACACTATGTGGAGGGCTGGGGTAGAAGTAAGGAGCCCAGGGAGGAGATGATAGTGAACATCCAGGTGAGAGGTGCTGATGGCTGGACCAGGGTGGTAGATAGCAACGCAGCTGGGGAGAGATCACTGGAGTCCTGGTTCTCCTGTGTGACTTGCGACTGATGGTTGCACCTCTCCAGAGCCTCCGTTTCCTGGTTTACAGATGGGAGTGGTAATAAAGCACCCACCTCTCAGGGCTCCTGTCTGGTCTCAGTGTGATAGAGTGTGGACAGCCGTTGGCAAAGCACCGCAAACATGGCCTGCCGTTGTTCCTGGCATTATCTGCCTGGTTCCCAGACCAGGGAGGGCCTGTGTCCTGTCCGGGGCAAGGATGGGCTTTGGGAGGCAGAATGAAGAGAGGAGGTCTGATCTCGTGGGATGTTGTATTTACCTGAGTCAGAGAATCTTAGAGCAAAAATTCTTGTGCTAAGAGAGACTTGGAGGTCTTTTATTCCTCATAGCTCTGTGTGTGTGTGTGTGTGTGTGTGTGTGTGTGTGTGTGATAAGGAAGTGAAGATCCAGAGAACAGCTTTATCTTGCTGGGAGCCCACGGTGAGTTGTAGGCTGAGCCAGGGCTAGAGTCCATCCCCACCTGTGTTCCCCGTCCTGGGTGCCTCTCTGGTGATTACACCTTCTGACCACATCTTTCCCTCCCCCTCCACCCCAGCCTCAACATCTTTCTGGGACTTCCTACTGCCTCTGGGATAAATTCCAAACTCTCCCAGTCTCTCGGGCCAAAAACCTTGCGTTTGCCCTTGACGTCCCCTCTTTCCCTCACACCCACATCCAATCTGTCAGCAAACCTTGACTGTGGCACCTTTAGATTTCAAATCTGACCTCCGTCTCCCTGCCTCTATCAACACGACCAAGGTCCATGCCCCTGTCTGGGTTCTCACCAGGAGCCCCTGTCCCGAGCTCCTCATTTCTGCCCATCCTTGCCTCTCCTTTTGACAGCAGCTGGAGCCAACCTTTAAAAAGGCAAGTCAGGGACTTCCCTGGGGATCAGTGGATTAGACTCCAAGAGTCCACTTTAGGAGGTGCAGGTTCGATCCCTGGTCTGGGAACTAAGATGCCATGTGCTGCGCACCTAAAATTAAAGGCAAATCAGATCACACACTGTGTTGTATGCAAGAGAAATAAAACTGGGGTCTCTGTAAGAACACTGAGGAGTAATATAGAATTCTAGCCTTAAGCTTGGTGGAGGGAGGTGAAGCTTTTTGTGCCATCTCTCCACCTGCTGTGGTTAGGGAAACCCAGGCATCGAGAAGTGAAGTCACTTGCTGCAGAGCTGGGAATCGACCCCTGGCAGCCTGACTGCTGAAGTCACTCTCCCCACCCCCAACTACCGCTTCACTTTACTATACTACCTCTCTTCCTCACGAGTCCTTCTCTTCTCAGTCAAATTTTCTAGGTACACTCCCACCCCCTCCATCATCTCTCCCCTCCCTGGGAACATCTACGCTTCTCGAGCTTAGAACCACAAGTGCAAAGACTGATGCTGATTTCTGCACAATCATCTTTGGTGGGATTTAATTTTAGTCATTTCCCCTCCTTGGTCTTCCTCCTCCTGTAAGCACCCACTCTAGTGTGCTTAATTTTTGGTCTCCAATATTTCTTCTATTCTTTTACAAAGATCCCTGTGTATCCTTAAGGTCAGTTTTGTTGTCTGTGTTTTAAATTTGCAAAATATCACTGAGTGATGAACCTCATCATCTTTCTTTTCTGAGAGCTCTCAGTGTGGCTGTGCTTATTTCCAGCTCCTGAGGAGTGAGTCTTTTTTTTTTTAATTAAAAAAATTTTTTTTGGCTGTGAGGCATGTGGGATCTTAGGTCCCTCACCAGGGATGGAATCCACACCCCCCCTGCACTGGAAGCATGGAATCTTAACCACTGGACCACCAGAGAAGTCCCAGGAATGAGTCTTACAGACTCTGAAGGGGCTGTCTGGGTTCAAGTCCCAGCCCAAGAGCCCACTAGCTGAATGACATGGGGCACGTTACTGAAACTGTGTGTGCTTTGGTTTCTCTACCTGTAAAATGGGGGTTGTTAAATTGTGGTGGGCTTCCTTGGTGGCTCAGAGGTAGAGAATCCATCTGCAATACGGGAGACCTGGGTTTGATCCCTGGGTTGGGAAGATCCCCTGGAGGAGGGCATGGCAATCCACTCCAGTATTCTTGCCTGGAGAATCCCCATGGACAGAGGAACCTGGCAGGCTACAGTCCATGGGGTTGCAAAGAGTCAGACATGACTGAGCGCCTATGCACAAATCATGGTACCTTTCTCATTAGATTGTTGCAAGCTAACAACTTAAAGCATTACTAGGAACGGCATGAATGTCAGCTTCTACCTCTTTTTATGGGCTGTCCCAGGATATATTTTATATTCTACTTAAAAAATTATTTTATTGAGTTATAAATTATTTACACTCCACTGCTTGAGACTTCCATGGTGGCTCAGATGGTAAAGAATCTGCCTGCAATGTGGGAGACCTGGCTTCGATCCCTGTGTTGGGAAGATCCCCTGGAGAAGGAAATGGCAACCTGCTCCAGTATTCTTGCCTGGAAAATCTCATGGACAGAGGAGCCTGGCAGGCTTTAGTCCAACGGGTCGCAAAGAGTCAGACACGGCTGAGCAACTAACACTCTTGAGACTTAATGATGGACATGAAATTCTTTCCAACTCTTTGCTACCTAAACTCCACTCAAGGCTCATGCTCATACCCACCTCATTTGGACAGTAGGGAAATCAGATTGTCTGGCATTCTCAGATTCAATTTCTCAAAGTATTGCCAGATTATTCTGTAGAAAGGATACACCTATTAATACTTCAGTGCCCAATGACCTCCACATACTTCTCCAGAACTTGGTGTTCTTAGACTGACATATTTTCAATCTAATGGATTTGAAAGTATTGCTTTATGTACTTTCTTATGTAGATCAGTTAAGCTTCTCTGGGTTGCTTTAGTTTTCATGTCCACCTAGAATAACTACAAACTTACGTGTGTGTGTGTGTGTGTGTGTGTGTGTATCTTTGAGTATCAACACTTCAAGGTTTTAGCCACTGTCACAGTGAAAAAGGCAGCTTAACAGTACCTCCTGGGACTTCCCTGGTGGTCCACGGGCCAAGACTCTAAGACTTCCAATGCAGGTTGTGCAGATTTGATCCCTGGTGAGGGAACTGAGATCCCACATACCACACGGCATGGCCAAAAAGAATAATAGTACCTCCTTTCTATATCATTTAAGAGAATTGAGTGTGATGATAATAGCCACTCTATACTACGTGTTAACTACATAGCACTGTGCTAAGGATTTTACCTGTAGTAACTCATGTATTCCTCACAAAAACACTACAAGACGCATGCTCCTGGTATCACTCTCATTTTACAGATGAGAAAACTGACACGCAGAGAAATTGACTAGAAGGAGCAGAGCTGAATTCAGACCCAGGCAGACACGCTCATTCACCACCTCACTGCCTCTGAATGAGCTGATGCAGAAAAGACACCTAGGGCTTAATGAAGGCTCTGAATTATCACAGCTGTAATAATCACACAGGACAATCCAGAGGGGGTTGGGGGATGTTTGCTAATTGCCTTGGCAAATTGGATAATGGATTCAGCTTTTGGGACATTTTACAAGTATAGTAATAATAGCATCTCGCATTAAAAAAAATAATGTTAGAGTGTGTGAAACTTGAAAGAGACTCACATGGACCTCTGTTCCCTGTTTGTAAAGGGATAAAGTTGGACAAAATCCTGATTCCTATTCTTTTCACAGCCCCTCAGTTTTCCAAAATCAAAGCACTTACAACGATCACAGACGCCTTCCTTTCCAGCACTCACCAGGTACAAGCTCTTGTCCCCAGCTTTTATGTGAATGAGATCGGCAGGCAATTCTCACCTAACTCTCGTTCTCATCTGCCGTGAATTTGCACCTGCTGAACAGGGCTGGACAAAAACACACACTTTGATGAATCTGGATTTACCGTAATTTCCTCCCTGGAAGCCCTGCTCATGTCCATTCACTCTCCCACAATCCTGGAAGCATATTTCATATATTCTCCTCCCTCCTTCAACCTCAACCATTTCCTCCCTGGCATCACTCTCACCCTTGACCCTGTTCCTGTTTTAAATCCATCAGAAAAGAATTTCTGCATATTCCCAGCAACTGTGTTGCAGCTACCAGCATCAGGGACCCTGTTCTTTGCCTTCCCTCCTGCTAATGCTGGGAAACCCTCCTTGCCAAGACCACTTCACATATGCACTACATCCTATCCCCTCTTGCTACTCAGGGCTGTAAATCAAGCAATTCTTTCCTCTCCTGCACCATCAATTTTCCCTTCTCTTCCAGATCTTCTCATTGGCATAAAAACACACTCTAACACAGACAAGCTTTTTAAACCCCATCCAGCTACAGCTCCAATGGTCTGCTGCCTTTTACAAAAAACCCTCCAAAAAAGTTATCTGTCCCAATGTCTCCAATTCCTTTTCTCCAATCCTTGAATCATTCCAGTTAGGGTCTGGCTCCACCACTTGGCCAGATCAACTCTTGAGGTTACCAGGAACCTCTCTGTGATTCAACCCAATAGTTTAGTGACCTGCCTGCATATTACTTGAACCTTTTTGTGGACAGTCACACCCTCTTCCTAGGTTTATCTTCTTCCCTTGACTTCTAAGATACCCACTCTCATGAATTCACTCCTAGCTCAGTGGCTGCTCCTTTTCAGACTCCTCTGTTGTTTCTTCCTCATCTTTGGGGTCTTTAAACATTGGAGGGTCTTGGGGGCTCAGTCCTTGGTTCTGTTCTTTTTTTTTCTTTCCACTTACTCCTTTGGGGATGGCTTCCCAAATTCATTCATCCATCCATCTATCTATTGATTATCTATTTACCAACTGTCTATCTTTCATATATCTATATTTCTGTCTAATATTTATCCTATTTATCTAGCTATTGATCATTCATCTATCAACTATCTACCTATAGTATCTATTGATCACCTTATCAACTATCTATCTGTATCTATCCTGTTTATCTATTCTATCTATCTATCTATTTAGGTTAGACCTCATCCTTGAAATTCAGACTCATCTATTCAGCTACCCTCTCAACATTTTCACTTGGAAACCTATTAGGTATCTCAACACATCTAAAGCCAAACTCCCGATCCCCACTCGCCCCCTGCCTCCCCCACCTGTTATTCATCTAATCTCAATAAATGGGAACTTCATCTTGGCAGCTTCTTCGCTCAGAACCCTTGCAATCATTTCTGACTCCTCTTTATCTCTCTCCCAACACCCAATCCATCAGCAAATTCTGTCAGCTCTACCTTTAGAATAGATGCAGATTTTAACCACATCTTTCCACCTCCACTGCTACCACCTTCGGAAAAGCCACCTCTCATATGAATGATTTTTTTGTAATCTTTTGCTTAAAAATTGTTAAAAATTGTTTTATTGAGATGAAAGCCACATACCATTAAATTAACTACTTTAAAAGGTACAGACAAGAGGCTTTTCATACATTCACAGCATCGTGAAAGCATCATCTCTATTTAGTTCCAAACATTTTCATCATCCCCCAAAGAGACCTCACACCCATTAAAGTGATTCCCCATTCCCACCCCCACACCCCAGCTCCAGTCCCTGCCTCCACTAATCTGCTTTCTGTCTCTATGGATATGCCTGTTCTGGATACTTCATGTGAATGGAATCATGCCATATCTGACCCTTTGTGTCTGACTTCTTTCACTCAGCACAATGTTTTTAGGGTTCATCCATGTTTGTAGCACGGATCCATACCCCATTCCTTTTAACTGCTGAATAATATTCCACTGTATGGACAGACCATGTTTTATGTACCTTTTCATCTATTGATACACATTTGGATTGTTGCCACCTTTTGGTTATCATGGATGATACTGCTATGAAGATTCATGTAAAGTATCTAAACACAAGTTTTCAATTATCTTGTGTATATATACCTAGGAGTGGAATTATTGGGTCACCTGAGAATTCTATGTTTAACTTTATGTAGAACCACCAACATGTTTTCCACAGGCTGTACCATTTTATCTCATTGGAATTATTTTAACAGACTATTCTCTCTCTTTTAAATATTTACTTATTTATTTGGCTGTGCCAAGTCTTAGTTGTGGAACACAGGATTTTTTTTTTAGTTGCACCATGAGAACTCTTAGCTGTGGCATGTGGGATCTAGTTCCCCTGACCAGGGATCGAACCTGGGTCCCCTGCATTGGGAGCAGGAGCACAGAGTCTTAGTCACTGGACCATTAGGCAAGTCCCTTAACAGCCTATTCTTAACACAGTGAGACCACTCAAGATATGAGTAAAATTATGCCCCTGCTGCCCTCTACCTTCAACAGATCCCTTCTCACTCAAAGCCAAACCCAAAGACCTCACAATGACTTTTAAGACCCTACACCACTTGGCTTCTGGCTCTCTCCCAGACATCATCTACTACATTCCCACTCACTCAGTGTTGACCTCTTCCCTGTTCTTTAAATGCATCAGGCATGCTCTCAACCTCAGGGCCTTTGCACTCACTGTTCTTTTTCCTGGAATGCTCTACCTCTAGTGTAGCGGCTCCTACACTTACTTCAGGTCTCTGGTCTCAGCCAGCTTCTCGGAGATAACTTCTCTGACCTGTCCACTTTACTCTGCTTTTTGTTTTTCTCCATAGCACTTTTCACCACCTAACATTTATTTGTGTTTTTTTTTTTAAGAGATAGACACCTCTTTCTCTTTTTTTCTTTGCAAGTTTTTAAAAATATTATCTTTATTATTTAACTTCTGGCCACCTTGGCATGGGGGATCTTAGTTCCCTGACTAGGAATCAAACCCGCACCCCCTGCATTGGAAGGTGAAGTCTTAACCACTGGACCACTGGGAAAGTCCCTATTTATATTTTATAAATATATTTATATAAATATTTATATATTTTATTTTATTTATATGTTTTCTTTTCACTAGGGCTTAGGCTTTTTCTTTCTGTTCACTCTCAGCACATACTGCCTGGATTATAGAAAAGTGCCCTAAACATAGCAGGTGCTCAGTAAACGGCTGGCGAATGAACGAATGAGTGAATGCTTTGAACTCTATTATAGATGAAGCCAATGAAGCTCAGGAAGGATGCATGGCTTATGGGTAGTCCCAAGATGGTGATGAAGTCTTGAGATTTTTCTCTTTTTTTCATACACTTTGGGATTCTAATCCAGGTCTTTCTGACTGCAACACTCCCAAGTTCTTAACTGGACTGAACTTAACAGAACTTTAATTTAACAGAACTTTGTGTCTGGGCATCATAATAACCCAAAATGTTATTTTTTAGCAATACTCAGTCTACAGATGGGAAAACTCATACCCAGCAAGGGAAGGGGCCCTCACAAGCAGTTGGTGGCTGTGTCAAGACTAGCTATGATGCTTTAGGGCAGGATTTCTGGCACTAGCCTCTGGCACATAGTGAATATTCAATTCAATAGATGCATGATGACTGGTATTAAGAGTGGATTTATCATAAAGCTCACATAAGCTTCAGAGCCCCTGGTTTGCATAGGCCTTTCCATGGCTCCAGTAAGGTGTCCCTGTGGTCTGATGTTTTTGAAAAATTTGCAAAAGGAAGATATTTAAAGTGCAGTTGGTTAAGAGACTTTGCTGATAGTCCAGGGGCTTCCCTGTTGGCTCAGTGGTAAAGAACCTGCCTGCCGATGCAGGAGACATGGGTTTAATCCCTGGGTAGGGAAGATCCCCTGTAGAAGGAAATGGCAACCCACTCCAGTATTCTTTCCTGGGAAATCCCATGGGCAGAGGAGCCTGGACAGAGGACTACAGTCCATGGAGTTGCAAAGAGTCAGACATGACTCAAAGACTAAACAACTGGTGGTCCAGTGGTTAAGATTTCATGCTCTCGATGCAGGGGGCCCGGGCTTGATCCCTGGTCAGGCAACTAGATCCCAAATGGTACAATGACTATTACTTGTGCCACAACTAAAGGTCCTGCATGCTATAACTAAGACCTGGGGCAGCCAAAATAAATAAATAAATAAATAAATTTTTTAAAAATGCAATTGGTTAAGACAACTGACTTCTCCCTGTTCTGTGTCCCTGTGTGGCATTTCTCTCCACCAGGCATGCTGTTGGAGTCACCTTGGTTATTGATGGGATCTAGGTGAGGGGAAGGTGAGTTGAAGGTACTTTTAGGTTGGGTTCTGTGGGATATTTTGATATGGTTCATAGATGTGCATGCATGCTAAGTCACTTTAGTCACATCTGACTCTTTGCTGCCCTATGGGCTGTAGCCCGCCAGGCTCCTCCGTCCACGGAATTCTCCAGACGAGAATCCCTGACCCAGAGATTGAACCTGTATCTCTTATGTCTCCTGCATTAGCAGACAGGCTCTTTAACCACTAGCGCCACCTGGGAAACCCATAGTTCATAGACACTTTGAGCTATACTTGAATTACCTAACCAGTAGTCCTGGTGTCTCGAATGGCTTCCAGAATGATCCTATAGTCCAAGGTGCTAACTCACTAGGTACAAGGCCAGTTTGTTGTGTGAATGGTCCTCAAGTGATCTACTCCAGAAGCACCTGCATAATGAAAGGAATTAAAAGGACTGAGCCAGAAGTTAGCATGTAGAAACATTTTCCAAAATGTGTAGCTAAGATGAATTGAAAGTGAAGTCAGCTCAGTTGTGTCCGACTCTTTGCGATCCCATGGACTGTAGCCTACCAGGCTTCTCCGTCCATGGGAGTTTCTAGGCAAGAGTACCAGAGTGGGTTGCCATTTCCTTCTCCAGGGGATCTTCCCGACCCAGGGCCCGAACCCAGGTCTCTCGCATTGTAGACAGACGCTTTACCCTTTGAACCACAAACTTCATGAAACTTTCCCCAAATTTCCAAAATACTTAGATGACATCACCAGTACTGTCTTGTGAACTTTTTCTAAAGGATAATGACTTTAAAAAAGTTCCATCAAGTATGCTAGAGGAAAGATAATTTACTTTTCTCTCTCTGTAGATGAGGATATTATGAGGTAAAGTGAAGTCGCTCAGTCATGTCCGACTCTTTGGGACCCCATGGACACCAGGTTCCTCGTCCATGGGATTTTCTAGACAAGAGTACTGGAGTGGGTTGCCATTTCCTTCTTCAGGGAATCTTCCCGACCCAGGGATCGAACCCAGGTCTCCAGCATTGTAGACAGATGCTTTACTGTCTGAGCCACCAGGGAAATCCTATTATGAGGTAAGGATATTATGAAATAGGGACATGCAGCCAAAAAAGTAGGAAACATAACCACAAAGGTGTGTCAGGCAGTAAATTAATAAAAAACATTATATTATCTTCTTGGATTTTGCAGTGTTTGTGGTGTTTGCCAGCTCTTTAAAATATGTAATATGTTATTATTTCACATTCTAAGTAAATTTTCATATCCATACTGAATTTTGTTAGTGATTTTGTATTCCTTTTCTTAAAGAACCCTCCCTTCCCTTACTCCCCTATCAAATTCTGTAAGCTATATCCACCCTGTTGATATCTCTTAAACCAAAACAGGGGTAGTTTTCAAGCTGTGTGATCCCGGGCCAGTGGCTGTACCTCTCTGAGCCTATTTCCTTAGTGACAGAAGGGAATTATAATAGTTCCCACAGTGCAGAGTTTTTGCTAACTTTAAATAAGCAAAGGCCTGCAAACTGCTAAGTGCAGGCTTGGAACACACCGACCGACGATAAATCTCAACAAGTCTTCATGCTAAGAACATTTCCGTAGCATCTTAACCCGCGGCGCAGACCTCCCTCTGCGCATGCGCGTCGGACACTTTCCCGCCCCGCCCATGTGGGCGTGGCCTGCTCTGCCGCAGGGCGTTATGGGCGGAGTCAAAGAGGTACTTCCGGGATTTCCTCCTGTCCCAGGAACAACCTTCTTTCTATGATTGGCAGTAGTTTCCAGCCAATAGTGATTGGAGAGGAGACTGACGACCCGACCCATTTCGGAACGTCTCTTCCGAGTTGACCAATTGCAAGCTCTGGAGGGGCTGAACTGACGGGCGTCTGTTTTGACTAATGAGAACTTGGCTGCGAGTAAGCCAGAACCAATCTGCAGCGAGAAGGCCGGATCCTGGGGCGGGGCGGGAGCTTCGGCAGTTGAACTGCTCGCGAGGAGGGGCGTCCCTGGAGAAGGTGAGAGACTGCTAGGGCTACGGGTGCACGGGTCGGGCTAGCGATCCTGGGGGGGGAGGGGGTGCTCTGGGGGAGAATGGGCTGAGCAGGCATCTGACCTGGTAGTGTGAGAATCGGGAGGGGTTGCCTTTAACACGGGTAGGCGCTTTCGTGAGAGGTTGTGAGACCGGGGAGTGAGTCGGGGGTGTTTTCTGTTTCGCATTGAGGCTCTTGAAACGGGAAAGTGTGTAAAGTAGGATACAGCAGATGGTGAAACGTAGAAATGCCCTTGTAGGTCAGACTTGCAATTTAAGGGGAGGTTTTAAGACAGAGGGTTATTACATTGCGATGTGGAGTGGTGGAGGTCCCTGCCATCAGTTAACAAGCTTTGATTTGGATGCAGGGCAGGTGAAGAACAATATTGTTGGAAGGAATGAGTGAAGACTCCAGGGATGAGGGTGTGTTTTGACGACTTGTGAAGGCTTGTGATACACGTAACGTTTACTGAGGGCTGTGTGCCAGGCACCTACCAAATGTTGCATGTGAATTAACTCAGACTTCTTAATAACGCCACGGGTGATTAAGAGTGTGGGCTCTGGCATGAGTTGCTTGAGTTTGAACGTTGGCCCTGCCACTGGGTGAGTTGTTTAACCCTCTGTGCCTCAGCTTCCTCACCAGTAGAATGACCTTGTCTCTTCTTTGGCTATACCATTCACCTGGTGGCCTCACCCAGTCTCTTGGTTTCATATACTCTTTGTGTAGTGATGTTTCTAAGTGTATACATCTCCATTTGGAGTCTCTATGCTGAACTGAAGGCTCATGTGTGCAGTGGCTGGCTCTTCTCTACTTGGAAGTCCAGCTGACACACAGACTTCAAAAATGTGTCCCAAACTAAACTTGGAGTTTTCCCCTTCAGCCTCCAAACCTAGTTGATGACAGTTCCATCCTTCCAGGTACTCAGGACAGAAACCTTGGAGTCGGCCTTCACTCCTTCCTGTACTCTCACCCATGTACTGTCCGTCAGTCAGCAAGTCTCATGGATCAACCTTCAGAACACATGGGACTTCCCTGGTGGTTCAGTGTTAAGACTCTGTGCTTCCAATGTAGTGGGTGCGGGTTCGATCCCTGGTTGGGAAACTAAAATTCCACATGTCACACAGCGTAGCTTGAAAAAAAGAAAAACACCACATCCAGAATCCAGTCATATTTCACCATCTCCTTGGCTACATTCTGGCAAAAGCCATCACCTGTTCTTACCTGTTCTGTTGCAGTGGCCTTCTCACTGACTTCCCTGCCTCTACCCTTGACCCCACGGTCCAGTTAGTTCAAAAGTCAGATCATGTTGCTCCCCTGTTCTGTCTAGATGGGGTCATAAACTGGGCAGAATATGGTGGTCAGGGGCAGATCATCTCAGCTCTAGTTTGTGCTGGGGAAGCTTGTGGGAAATGCAGACTTCTGGGCCCACCTCCAGAGATTCTGCCTCTAGCTTTGGGACCAGGCCCAGGATACTGCCTTGTCACCAGCTCCCATGTTGAAGCTGAAGGTTTGCAGCCCTTACTTTGAGAAACAGGTCAGTTCAGAGCTCAGGGTGGAACTCTTCATCATTCAGCTCCCCTTTTGTAGTTGGCCTGGTGCTGGCTGGTGTTGGGAACCCTGAAGTGGTTGAGGCAGTCCTTTACTCAGCTTGTGAGTCAGGGAGGGCTTCCTGCAGGAGGGGACACTGGAGCTGAGACCTGGAAGGTGACAGAGGAGTGAGCTGAGAGAAGACCTTGCCCGTTTCTCCGGTGCCTTGAACCCTGTCTCCTGGAATTGAGCATGAATTCACAAGCAGCTGCTGATCCCCAGGCCTGGGGAGCTGAAGATGCAAGAATGATCACAATGGCTTTGCCCTCGTGGGCCTCTGGCTTGCCAACTTATCATCAGCTAGTTGCACAGATGGTTACAGCTGACCGAGTGCCAGGCACTATTTGAAGCACCTTATATATACTGACTAATTCAGTTCCCACAATAATCCTATGTGAGGCAGGAGTTCTTCTTATCCCTGCTTTACCAATGGGGAGAGGTTGGGAGAGGCTAAATGCCTTGCCCAGGGTCACATTGCAGGTTAGGATCTGAACCCTGGAGTCCCCAACTTACATCATGTACCGTGCTTAAGGTGTGAGGCCCCATTTGGATTTGTTCTGGGAGGAAAAGGAGCAGAGGGTTAGGGGAGGAACTGGAAGGTAGTCAGGGAAGGGCCGCTTAGGAATGAGTAGAGAGTGAATGTGCCAGACCCTCACTGCAGGATTCCAGGCAAGTCTCAGTTTCATCTTCTGTAAAAGGGGGTTGGTTACAGTACCTCCCAGAGAGCGGAACTAACAGGAACTAACGGTGACTCATTGGTTGTTCGTGGGCATGGTGCTTATCTCAGGCAAAGCTCGTTTGGGGGGTGGTAGGGGAGGTAGAGTCTGATACCCGGGGGGCGGTGATGGGCCTCAGTGTGCGCTATGGAGGTCTGCATGGTGGGGTGTCTTAAAGGGTTTTGGGGTCGGTACATTCCAAGGGGATAATGTGGAAGGCTTTGGTCTGTATTTTGGAGTGCAGGGCTAAGGGAGAGGGGGATTTGTTCAGCCCTGATTCACCCATGTGATGGTGGGGGGCAGGGGCCATGAGCTTGGAATGGGGCTAGGATGAGTTACTTAGGCCAGGCCATGTGTGCGCGTGCGCGCGTGTGCGTGCATGTGTGCACTAGGTCATGACTGGCTGGACTGTTTGGGGGTGGCAGATACTGGGGAAACAACCATCAGGGGTGGGGATTTACCCATGTCTGGTGTGGGAGGTGGTGATGTGGATTTGTTTTGGGGGAGCCCAGCTTAGAGGATTGTCAGCTCTGGTCGGTCCTGGGGTGATGGCTGTGAACTCTGAAATATCTAGGGAGCAGAGTTTGGGAAGAGGAGCTGGGGTGGTAATGTAACATTGAAAATGCACAGGTGGGTCACTTTAGTGAAAGATGAGAAGGCTGGGAGTTGGAAAATGAGTGTGTGTGTGCGCGCGCGCATGCACTCGTGCACTAAAACCATGATGTCATGAGGCCAGGGAAATGGGGGTGTGTGGACCAGAATGGGGCGCTGGAGAGTCCACACTTAGTGCACGAAGTGGAGGTTCTGACGTCACGGATTGACGGGGGTGGGGTGGGGGGCGGCGCCTCAAAGGCAAGGCATCCGGGGTGGGTTGGGGAGGGGGAACGTGTCAGGAAGCTGAGGCGGAGAGGATCTAGGAGAGACTTGGTACTGGAACAAAACCAGCAACTAGGATGGGCCACTGGTCGGCGGTCACAGAGCACTCACTGCTTGGAGTCACAGAGCAAGGATGGGGGATGCAGGTAGAAGGGCAGTGGGGGTGGGGTCGGGCGTGGAGGGAGGAGGGGCTCAGGGTCTGGAGGATCGCAGGGTCCGGGCGTGGTGATCAAGGGAAGAGAAATGGAAAATGTGGGGGGCGGGAGAGAGAGGGAGTTTACATAGAATTTGAGAGGGGACGGAATCCAGATGAAATACGAGGGTTATGGAATACAGGCTGAAAAATGGGCTGTGTGTGGAGTAGAACCTTGGGCCGATATACGGACAGAATCCAGGCGGAACAGCATAGGGGGGACAAAATTCAAGTAGAATGTAGGGGGAGCCCCAATAGAACATGGGGGACTGGGAGAAGGGGTCGTGGCCAGAATATAGGGAATGAGTGTGTTGGGGAGCTGGGGTCAGGAGGGGAGAGTCGAACTGGCTGGGGAGTGTGGAGGTTATTCTGTCTAGAAGGGAATGGAGGGAGGGGAGTGGGTAAAGTTTGTGCAGGTGAGGGAGGCAGGTGTAAGAAGAGGGTTGAATTCGGGCAAACTATTCAGCGGCTTAGTATCTGGGGACTGAGGTGGGCGGGTGTGTCATCAGGACAATTGGATGAGAAAGCCCCTGTTATCAACTGAAGGGCTATGAATGGGGGGCTTATGTGCGGGAGTGGGTAAGGAGGAGGGCGGGGCCGGGTTAGCAGCCGGGATGGGGTGGGGCAGGCCCTCTTCCTCCTCTGTCTCCCGGATCAGGTACGAAGAGTAGGATGGTGAATTAGGGCCGGTTAGGCTGCGTGGCTTGTCAGGTGTTCCGCAGCTGTCTTTGACTCCTTGGTAAGCCGGACTGCGCGGCCGCTGATTGGCTTGCGGCGTGGGCGGGGCAGAGTGGGTGGGTGGGGTTTAGAGCACCCGGTGGGGCGGGGCTAGCGCTGCCTGGCACCCGTATTGAGGGCCAGGGAATGAGGGATATGTTGAATGTGTAGCTGTTTGTTTGCCAGTAGGTCAGTAATTATTAAGCCCCACTTCTGAAACTCCGGAGAATGAAAGTGGGGAGCTGGGGTCAGGAGGGGAGAGTCGAACTGGCTGGAGAGTGTGGAGGTTATTCTGTCTAGAAGGGAATGGAGGGAGGGGAGTGGGTAAAGTTTGTGCAGGTGAGGGAGGCAGGTGTAAGAAGAGGGTTGAATTCGGGCAAACTATTCAGCGGCTTAGTATCTGGGGACTGAGGTGGGCGGGTGTGTCATCAGGACAATTGGATGAGAAAGCCCCTGTTATCAACTGAAGGGCTATGAATGGGGGGCTTATGTGCGGGAGTGGGTAAGGAGGAGGGCGGGGCCGGGTTAGCAGCCGGGATGGGGTGGGGCAGGCCCTCTTCCTCCTCTGTCTCCCGGATCAGGTACGAAGAGTAGGACGGTGAATTAGGGCCGGTTAGGCTGCGTGGCTTGTCAGGTGTTCCGCAGCTCTCTTTGACTCCTTGGTAACCCGTACGGCGCCGCCGCTGATTGGCTTGCGGCGTGGGCGGGGCAGAGTGGGTGGGCGGGGTTTAGAGCACCCGGTGGGGCGGGGCTAGCGCTGCCTGGCACCCGTATTGAGGGCCAGGGAATGAGGGATATGTTGAATGTGTAGCTGTTTGTTTGCCAGTAGGTCAGTAATTATTAAGCCCCACTTCTGAAACTCCGGAGAATGAAAGTACAGTTGTGAGAGTGTGAATTTTCCGAGGGAAAGTGGTCTCCAGATTTCATCAGCGCCTCCAAAGCACCAGAGACGCCTTCCCCAAATAAAGTTAGCCTGGACCTAGGGTCAGAGAAGCCTCTCAAGATGTCTGGGGCTCAGGCAATTGTCCTTGGGTCTTTGAGAAAAGGGGTCTGTGGATGGGCTTCAGAAGTGGTATTCTGGCAGGCCCTGAAATTACTTGGCAAAAGTTTTGGATCTATTCATTTGTCTGGGGAGACTTCAGAGATCTCATTAGATTTGCAAAGGCTCTAGGACTCTAAAAAGATTAAAAATCACTGACCTAAGAGATTCAGGGCTCATTTTTTTTTCCAATAGTGGCACTTAATTTTATTGATTTATTTTTTGACTGCACTGTGTGTGGCTTGCAGGATCTTAGTTCCCCAACCAGGGATTGAACCCAGGCCCTCTGCAGTGAAAGCAAGGAGTCCTAACCACTGGACCAGCAGCGAATTCCCAGGGCTCGTCTTTTTCTCAAAATATTAAATTTTCTATTATCAGACTTCAGGAAGGACTAAACTGGGGAAAATGTGAGGACCAAAGGAGGTGATGGGAAGAGAAGGAAGTTAAGCACAGGAGGGGTCCCAGGGATCTGAGTAGGGGGCAGCTGTTGGTGGCTTTGTCTTTGGAGCACCTGTGGGACTCTGGACGGCGCTGTTTGTCTTGCGGAGCCACAGTTTCTCCATCTGTACACTTGGGAGAGAATGGGCTTGCCTTGTCTTTCTAGTCCCTCTCAAGCTCAGAAACAAAACAGAGTAGTAATAATAAGAATAATGATGGTCAGGTGTGGGGATGAAATAGATGAAGAGGATTAAGAGACACAAACCTCCAGTTATAAAGCAAGCCACATAATATGGTCAATAATATTGAAGTAACTTTGTATGGGGACAGATGGTTCCTAGACTTATCATGGTGATCATTCCATTATGTGTATAGATGTCAAGTCACTGTGAAACTAACATAATGTCCATCAATTACATTTCAATAAAAAAAAAGTGATGATGATGCCGATACATATTGAATGCTTGGTGTGTGTCATGCATGGCTCAATTTTGCTGAGGATTTTAACATGGTTAATTCATTTAATCTTTACGCCAATCCAAGGAGATGAATGCTGTTATCCTCCTATGGGCTTACAAAGGCCTGCAGGAACATCATCTGGCCCGTTACATCTCTTATCTCCTCACTTTCCCCTCTCCCTCCCTTACGTTGACCTCCTTGCTGTTTTAAGAATGAACTAGGAACATCCCACCTTGAAGACTTTGCCTGGCTGTTCCCTCTACTTGGAGCCTGTTCCCCAGATATTCACCTGTCTCCCCTCTTCCCTCCAGGCCTCTGCTCAGTGAGGAGGGCATGGCGCTTCCTTGGCCACCTTAGCTAAAAGAGCAACCCCCACCCCCCTAGCATCCTCTTTCTCCTTTTGACATTTTTAGGTCTCTAACTATTGCTACCCTTTTGAGGGTAGGGATAGAATCTGGTTTCTCAGCATATCCTTAGCACCCAGGATAGCATGTGCTTTATTTTTTTCTTTTTAAACTGGAGTACAATTGCTTTACAATGTTGTGTTAGTTTTGGCTGTACAATGTGAATCAGCTATAAATGTACATGTATCCCCCTCATCTTGTGCGTCCCTCCCAGCCACCCTCCACCCCACCCCTCTAGGTCATCACAGAGCCAAGCTGAGCTCCCCGTGCTCTATCTGTTCTGCGAGTTAGAGTGTATATGTCAGTGCTACTCTCTCAATCCGTCCCACTCTCTCCTTCCCCCTGCCTGTGTCCTTAAGACCATTTCCTACATCTGCGTCTCTGTTCCTGCCCTGCAGGTAGGTTCCATTCTGCACCAAATGGTTCCAAATCTGTACCATTTTTCTAGATGCCGTATATATGCGTTAATATGCAATATTTGTTTTTCTTTCTCTGACTTACTTCACTCAGTATGTCAGGGCATGTGCTTTAAGGATAAGGAATCTGGCTCCAGGAGAGGTTAAGTTTCTCGCCCATGTACATGCCCAGAGCTGAAGCTGGTTATGAACCCAGGCAGCCCGGGGCTGGCATTCTGAATGGTTCCCTAGAACTCGGGCTGAGGATGGAGGCCTGGCCCCCTGCTCCAGCTCCTCTAGCACCAACAGTGAGTGGTAGTCCTGTTGGCTAAGAGAAAGTCCTTATACTCGCAATGGACTAATGAAGAAGATCAATTATTAATTCAGTGTAAATGCTTCAGGTGTCTCATGGAGAATCTGTTAGCCATGCACTGGCTCTTCTCTTGACTTGGGCCACGCTGCTTAGGGGTAGCCACATGGTTTGTTCCCTGACCTCCTTCAGTTCTCTGCCCAAATGTCACCTCCACAGAAGGCCCTGCCCTTGACCCCCTATTTAAAATCCCTGCCCAGCCTGATCTCAATGCTCCATCTCTCTTTCCTGCTTGACCTTTTCTTCGCAAATGTTTGAATAAATGAACAAGTAATAAATATATAATGCATATAAGGATTAATAAATTAATAATATTATTAATCATGATTCTCTTATTGGAAATCATATATTCTATTAATCAGCATATATTAGGCTTAATAACGTGCAGAACACAGTTCCCAGGGCCTTTATGTGTATTGTTCNGAACACAGTTCCCAGGGCCTTTGTGTGTATTGTTCAATGTCATCCTCATGCCAGCTCTATGAGGTAGGTGCTGTTTCTGTACCCATTTTCCAGATGAGGAAACGAAGCAGAGAGAGGCAGAGTCTCTTTCCTAAGGTGGTACATTGGTGGGACCAGGATTCTGGCCTTCCAGCTCCTAAGCCTGGGCTCTCAGCCCCTCTGGGTCTCTGTCTCGTCTGCCTCTCCAGCGACACTGGCCATGGACCAGCCAGCTGGCCTGCAGGTAGACTACGTCTTCCGGGGTGTGGAGCACGCCGTGCGGGTGACGGTGTCTGGGCAGGTGCTGGAGCTGGAGGTGGAGGACCGGATGACGGCCGACCAGTGGCGGGGCGAGTTCGATGCCGGCTGTGAGTATGCCTGCCTGGGTGGGCTCGCCTGTCCTTCCCCAGAGTCAGCGTCTCCCAGAAGATGAGGCCAGTCAGGATCCTGCCCACCTGCCCCTTCTACCTGACCAGAGCTCTCTAAGGTGGGGAGGGTGTCTAGGACTCATCCCTGGGGCCAGAGGCACTCGTGTTGGGGAAAGGTGGAAAGCTTGGGTGCATTGCCCTTGGGCTGGGCAAGTGATCAGACCTCAGGAAGGACTTTTCTCTCTACCTAGTCATCGAAGATTTGACTCACAAGACAGGGAACTTCAAACAGTTCAGCATCTTCTGTAACATGCTGGAGTCGGCCCTCACCCAGGTAGGGGCCAGGGTTGGGGGAGGTTTCTGTCCTTTGGGTCCCTGGGAGGGTAGACGCCCGTCTGATGTATGCAAGACCTTCTACTTCTCTTTCATTGAGGAAATGGAGGGCTGTCTTTTCTTCTTTCCCAAATGTACATGGCTTATTCTCATTGTAATTGTGATGACAGTGATTCTCATGGAGAAAATTCAAGTCACAGAGAAATGTAAAGAAGAAAGTAAAAATCCCTGCATTCCTCATGCTCACTCCTGGTAATATTTTGTTAGTATTTTGATGAAAATCACTCCAGCCATCTCTCCATTTCTCTATTCACTTGTGAACATGTGTGGTATGTATATTTGTAGATCTCTAATTTTACAGAGTTGATAAATTTCCCAAGGTATTCTGTAACCTTTTACACAGATCCAACAGTATTTCATAAAAATTCAGTCATATCAGTGGATGTAGCTAATCATTTCACCTACTGGGAATCTGTTGTGTGCCAGGCACTGGGAATACAACACTGAACAAAAGACACAAAATCTGCCCTCACAAACCTGACATTCTAGTGCTCCCACTAGACAGATGATTGAAAAAAAAGAAATGTCAAGTAGTTGAAAGTATTAATAGGAAAAAAAGAAGCAGGTTGGAACATAGATACTATTCAGACATCATTTGAAAACTGTGAACTGCATTATTTCTCTGATTATGGATAAAGTTAACACTCATAAAATTGTGATGATATTAATGTGTGTGACTTATAAAGTGAGAGTCTTAATTCCCTTTCTATCCCCCGCCTTAGACTGTTAACATTTTGGTGTCTATAGGCAATATAGCATAGTGGCCAAGATTATGGATGCTAAAGTCAGACTCATCACTACCACTTACTACTTGGGTGCCTGGGGCCAATTACTTCCCCTCCATGTCTTAGGTTTCCTATCCGTAATGTGGGAATGATAGTCCCCTTTTCATAGTGTTATGCAGGTTAAATGAGTTATATGTAAAAAGCTTAGAATAGTGCCTGACTCACAATAAGCACTAAACAGGTGTTGTCTATTTTTATTATTATTGTAACTTTTGAGTTTGTCATCTTTGTTAGTCGTTGCTTAGCATTCAAGTGTACCCATGCATCATGATTTATTTAACCCAGAGGTTCTCAAACTTTTTGGTCTCAGGACCCTTTTATATGCTTAAAAATTACCAAGGATACCAAAGAGCTTTTGTTTATGCCTGTTTCATCTAGCATTATTTGTTTGCCATGTTATAAATTAAAACAGAAAAATATAAAGATATTTATGAACTCATTTAAAAACAACAATAACAAAGCAGTTATTGACCTAAGTAATATTTCTAGGAATAGTAGTCTCAAAACCAAAATTATTTAGAAAGAAATGTCATTTTTTAAAAAAAACATTATCACAACTCTCTTTAATGTCTGGCTTAATAGATAACTGCTAGGTTCTCATGTGCTTCTTCAGTCTGTTGTGATGTGTCCTGGTTGCCATACATGCAGGGGAAAAAAAAAATCCTTCTTAGGAGGATATGTAGCTGGCAAAGGGAGTCCTTTAATAGTTTTTTCAAATAATTCTGCTCACACATTAAAATCGGATATGTCATAGTTTCTGAAAGGTTTCTTGCAGTGTGGAATCTGAGACCATATCAATGAATTTTTCCTATTCTGTCATATTGAAATCTATTGGCATATCTTGTACTTTGCAAGATCTTTTTACCTATTTTGTAACATCATGGGTTTGTAATATCACTTGTAACATCAGGAGTTGGTCATTTGGGAAATATTGCTTCATGGAATCTTGCAGATCTTTCAGAGGTTGACACATTTCATTATACAGTATCAGGAAGTCACATTTGTTAATATCCCCACTGATCTGGCCAGGAAAATCTTTCAACATTGAGAAGCTGTTAAGCCCGCAGTGGCAGGTACAAGTTTTCTAAAATTTGAATTTTCACTTTAAAGGTTGAATTTTATCGTTGCCAACAAATACTGTTAGCTGTTTTTCTTCAAGTGACAGGCTCACTTTGTTCATTTTTGAGAAAATGCTTGCCAAACATCAAAGACTAAATAACCATAGTTTTGCCTGTCAGTACCTTTTCAAGTAAAAATAGTGTTCCATGAAAAAGTGGCTAATTTAGCTCCAAGTTCAGTCCCACAGGTGGTTTTCTTAGAAAGTGTCACACTTTGATATGCAGCCAAATGTGGACTTTCTATTTTGTCACACACAGTAGTAAACATCTGTGTACTCAAGGGTCAAGATTCAAAACAATTAATAAGTTTTGCAGGTTCATCAGGGACATTCCTAGGTTCCATTTTCTGTTTTTATCTATCTCTTTGTGTGTTTCTCTCTGCCTCCCCGCCCCCCCCCCCCCCAAGTGGAGACTGTAGGGCAGGAGTGGAATATACAACAGTTGCTAGTACATTCGATGCCCCGGCTTGAATTCTGCTAATGGGCACCAGCAGTTTTACCCACCATGACTTTTGTACCATCAGTGCACAAGTCAGCACGGCAAGAAAAGGCAGATGACATCTTAGTGTTATTCTGCAAGTTGTTTTGACTGCATGTACTCCCCTAAAAGGGTCTCGGGGACCCCCAGGGCTGTGTAGACAACACTTGGAAGTCACAGCACTAAGCTGTCTCCTGTGGCTGAGAGTTGAGGTTCTTTCCAGTTTGTCCCCCTGATGATATCCTGCACCACAGGGCCATCTTGACCCATAGCCCCAGGGTAGGCAGGCCCATCTAGCCCAACAAATGATCAGGGCATGGCCCAGGTGTGTATGCTGTGTGATCTGGGAGTGGCCATGTTGCGTCTTTTGGCAACTCCTCCATTCTCTCCAACAGAGCAGTGAGTCAGTCACCCTTGACCTGCTGACCTACACAGATCTGGAGTCCCTGCGGAACCGAAAGATGGGGGGCCGCCCAGGCCCCTTGGCCTCAAGGTCTGCCCAGCTCAACTCCAAGCGCTACCTGATCCTCATCTACTCTGTGGAGTTTGACAGGTGGGTACAAGGGTACCCACCAGGCTGATAGCTGGTGGTCAGGCGAAAGAGGATGTGGCTCGGACTTAGGAACCCCTGGTACCCAGGCAAGGTGGGGATATTGCTTAAGCCTTGCCTTTGAAAAGTTGAGGTTTATGTGATTTAGTATTGTGTTTGGCTGCAAGTATCAGGATAACCGTTACTAGGGCCCTAAACAATAGTTTAGCACATAACAAGATGTCTAGGTAGGTGGCTGCTACTCAACAGCTCCATTAGGGACTCAGGTTCCTTCTCTTTTTGTTTTTCTTTTGTCATCTTTGACGTATTGGCTTTTTGACCTCATCCTTATCTCTTTCTGGTCACAAAATAGCTGCCGGACCTCCAGACATTGCATCTGTATCAAAGCAGAAGGGAATGAAACAGAACTGTGCTTGCTAATTGTATCTACTGTTTTCATCAGGAAAACAAAAGTGTTCCCAGAAGACTCTCAACCAATTTCATGTAGTAGTGTTTGGCCAGAAATGGTCACCTGTCCTTTCCCAGGTGGATTCTTGGCCTCTGAGATGCCATGGTTCTAATCCTTCTCAGGATTCACTACCCGCTGCCCCTCCCGTACCAGGGCAAGCCAGACCCTGTGGTCCTGCAGGGCATCATTCGCTCACTAAAGGAGGAGCTGAGCCGCCTTCGAGGGCTGGATGTCCAGGACACTCGGGACGGCCGGGAAACTGAGATCTGGCACCTGCGGGAACAGTGAGTCTTGGGGGTAGGGTGGGCAGCAGGGGCTGGGGGAGGGGACACATCCCATCATGCACCGCAGGACCCAGTGCTTAGCAGTGTTGGAAAGATGGCCCTCCCTCATTCCCCAGATATTTATTCTGTGCCCCTCCTTTGTGCCTGCCATGTGTTAATGGTGCTGGGGACACAGCAATGACTGAGACAGTCCTGGTTCTGTCCTCCTGGGGCTCCCAGTCCAGTAGGGAAGACAATGTCCGCAGTCAGAGAAGATTCACCATGGATGGGGGAGTGCAGAGGGGGACCTGACTGCCTGGTGAGGCTGGGGTGTCCCACACAAAGGGCAAGGCAGGTGCAAAGGCAGAGTGTGAGGCAGGGCTCTATTCAGTCGAATCCACCTTCACCAAGCGCCTCTTTTTTACTGACCTTTCCCTGCCCATGGGGTAGTGCTCGCCCAGGGGGCAGAGACATTGATCACATATCCACCTGAGTATATTGCAAATAGAGATGGAGTGAGACAGGAAAGGGAGCCTCTGCTTTGGGAGGCTGTAACAGGAACCTGGTAGGTTCTTGGGGTGGGGAAGAGTGTTCTAGGCAGAGGGAACAGCATGTGCAAAGGCTGTGCTTGGTGAGAATGTTTTGAAAACAAGGGGAGTGAAAGAGTGAAGTGAGAAAAGCACAGGTGCCTAGCATATTTACTGAGTGCCTGCTCTATGCTTCAGACTTGGTCTCCATCTGGTGGGGTCCTACACATTGGGGAGGGCTAATACTATCTTTAGTATTAATAATAATACCAATAGCTAATGTTTATTGAGCATTTAACTGTGTGCCAGGGACTCTGTTCAGTACTGTAATGATTTAATTCGTTTAATCCTCCCAAAGTAGGCACTACTACCATTTTATAGAAAACAGGCCCAGAGAGGTTAGAGAATTTGCCCCATACACAGTGAAGTAATATGGCCAGGCTTGACCTAGAATCCAAGCAATCAGCTCAAGCCCCTTTCCCTTCCTCAGCCACTGTGCACTGGTGGCAGGACTGAGCGCTCACGAAGGACCAGACCTCTGCCCTTTCAGCGGTGGGAGCTCTTTGGGCTGGAGAACCCTGTGATTCTTCCTGCTGTGTGCATGTGTTTCCCAGGATGGCCACAAGACGGCGCCCTCTGCCCTGAGAGCCATAGCCGGACAATTCTTGAAGTTAGGGAGTTTGGAAAGACGCCAAGATTCATTCATTCACTCATCCAACATTTAATGAGTTCCTACGGTGTGCCATGTACACTTCCCAGCCCTACTTGATGTTTATTGAGCCATCACTCAGTGCTGGACACGGTCTAAGCACTCTTTATAGATTCCTACAACCTTATCGGTAGGTGGTGTTATAATCCAGCTTCACAGAGATGTGAAGCTGCCCCAGGTCACACAGCTTGTAGGAGCTGGAATAGAGTTGAGTACAGTCAGCCTCGCCACAAAACCTGGATCCCGACACTGGGCTTGACCAGAGAGCTGGGGGAAGGATAGATAGAAAACAGATAATCATGCTGATCAGTGATTGGTGCTGCGAAGGAAGTCAGAGACTTGAGGGACCTGACCTCACCCCTGGCTGGGGTGGGGGGCCAGGCAGGCTTCACTGGGGACTTGATGTTTGGAGGATGAGTGGAGTCATTCCTGCCAGGAGGAGGAGAGCTGGTTCAGGAGGAGGGAACTGCATTTGAAAAGAGCATCGTGGGAGAGGGAGGTGGGAGGAGAGGAGGGGAGCGGGGAAGTCAGCTGGAAGGGACCAAATGGAGAAGCTCCTTGGAGAGTGTCGGGGAGCCACAGAGTTTTAAAAAACGTTTAATTAGGAAAAATCCCAAGCATACACAGAAGTAGCAGTATAACACACAGGTACTTGTGCCCCAGCTTCAATAGTTATCTAACACATTTTGCCCATCTTATTTGATCTACACCCTTTCCTGTCCTCTGAGAAGCAAATCCCAGATATTGGATCTCCTCTGTAAACATTTCAATATGTATCTTTTAACATATAAGGTTATTTTTGATAAACAAACATAAGCACTGTTATGACATCCAACAAAGCTAACAAAAATACCTTAATGCCAGGGTAAACAAATGTCTTTTAGTAATTTGCTTGTGTGAATAATTATTCAGGCCCCACATTACAGTTTGTTGATATGTTTCTTAAATCTCTTAATTTATTACAGTCCCCTCTACCTCCTTTTTTCATGCTGCTGCTTTGTGGAAGGAGCCAGTTTATTTATACAGTTTCCCACATTCTGGATTTTCTTTTCTTTTTTTTGCCACATGGCTTTTGGGATCTTAGTTCCCCAACCAGGGATCGAACCCCTTCCCCTCTGCAGTGGAAGCAAGGGCGAAGTCTTAACCACTGGACCACCAGGGGTCTTGTTGGTTTTATCACTGTGATTCATGTAGTCCCCTGTATTTCCTGTGAAGTGGTTGTTAAGCCGATAGGTTAATCAGATTCAGGTTTCTGGGGCGCCTTCCTCCGCGGTCCTGTGTATCTGCCTGGTGTCAGGTGATGTTGGGACTGGTGGGTGTGGACGTTGAGAGCTGGATCCTTGTCTTAAAAAGGTCCTGTCAACCCAGCATCTCTTGGTGGTTTTTAATTGCATTTCTCTAATTACCGATCAACAAGCGGTGTGTGCCCACCCGGGTGGAGGGCAGAGTACGGGACCGTGGCCCTCACCCGGCCCCGGCATTCGCCTTCTACCTCCTCCTCCCAGGGTGTCACGCTTGGCGTCTGAGAAACGCGACCTGGAGGCCCAGCTGGGCAGGTCGCGCGAAGAGGCGCTGGCCGGGCGGGCGGCGCGCCAGGAGGTCGAGTCGCTACGCGGGCTTGTGCGCGGGCTGGAGCTGGAGTTGCGGCAGGAGCGCGGCCTCGGGCACCGCGGGTCCGGCCGCCGAAGCCAGGATTGCCGCCGCCTGGCCAAGGAGGTGAGGGGGCGGGGCGGCCGGCGGGGCCCGGACTTTGGCTTCAGTCTGGACCTCCACGCCCCTCTTCCCTCCTGGCAGCTCGAAGAGGTGAAGGCGTCGGAGCGGAGCCTGCGTGCCCGGCTGAAGGCGTTGAACACCGAGCTGGCCCTGTACAAGAAGGGGTGAGGGGCGCGCCCGGGGCGGGGCCTCGGCGCTTCGGACCTGCGGGTGGGCTCCGGGGCGAGATGGCCGGGGCGGAGCCNTACAAGAAGGGGTGAGGGGCGCGCCCGGGGCGGGGCCTCGGCGCTTCGGACCTGCGGGTGGGCTCCGGGGCGAGATGGCCGGGGCGGAGCCCAGGTGGCTGGGCGGGGCCTGAGCGACGGGGCGGGGCCCAGGTAGGATGGAGAGGACGGTGGGGCCTGAGAGTGGGCGGGAATGGAGGGATGGGAGGGACCTAATGGACTGCCAGCGGCTTAGGGAAGAAGTCTGTAGTTGAAGACGATGGGCGGGGTCTGTAGAGAGATGGGCAGGCTTGAGGCGGCATTTGGGAGGCCGGATCTGGAGCTCGGGACCGCAGAGGGGCGGAGCCTGAAGGCTAGTTGAGCGAGAGGGCGTGGCTAAGCAGATAGATATCCCGGTGATGTTTGCTGGCATGTATTGGGGTGCGTGTTGAAAAATTGGTGATGATTTCCAGGGAGCTTGGGAGACCTCTGGGAGAAGGGTCTTCTGAGAGGATGTGTTAGAATGTAGGGAACTGACAGATGGTTTTTTTTAGGGGGGTGGTTGGGTTCTGAGCGGTGAAGCCTGGGGGAAAGAGATCTGTGAGGACCGTGTGTAAGAATGTGAATGTTAAGAGTTGACTGCGGGGGTGGAGGGGGGTTGGGACTGAATGTTCGAAGATGGTGCAGTCCAGGAAGAGTGTTGTCGCCGGTGGGAAACTTACAGTGCGTTGCGTCTGTGCTCCCAGGAGACGGACCCCGCCGGTGGTGTCGTCCTCGGCGCGGGAAGATAGGGCTTCCACGTCCCGGGAGCGCTCCACGTCGCGTGGCCGTGGTGCCGCCCGCTCTTCATCCCGGGAGAGCGGCCGCGGGGGCCGGGGTCGAGGTCGCCCTGCCCGCCCCTCACCCTCGCCCACAGGTCTGTGACGGCCCTGCCCTGCCCGTGGGAGGAGGTGGGTGGGACTAGAACTGTGGGGGCGTGACCCCAACCTCCTCCTCTCCACACCCCACCCCCACCCGGTCCTAGGTGGTCGCGTGCCCCGTTTCGACCCAACAGCCTTTGTGAAAGCCAAGGAGAAGAAGCAGAGAGAGATCAAGATGAAGTTAGAGCATGTTTCATCCTCACCTGCCCCTAGCCCTGCCCCTTTCCCTGCCGCTCTGAAGCACACCTTCATCCAACCCCTTCTCCCATCTCCATCACCTGTCGCCTGCTCTGCTTCCCACCCGACCTCCATCTCCTCTCCTCTCCTGATCGCCCCCTGGCTTGTCTCTCACACCCCTCCCTAGTCTGTGTTTCCGCTTGCCCCTAGCCCTGCCCCTTTCCCTGCCGCTCTGAAGCACACCTTCATCCAACCCCTTCTCCCATCTCCATCACCTGTCGCCTGCTCTGCTTCCCGCCCGACCTCCATCTCCTCTCCTCTCCTGATCGCCCCCTGGCTTGTCTCTCACACCCCTCCCTAGTCTGTGTTTCCGCATGGTTTCCCCCTGTTTAGCTGTGACCCGAAGGGGCTCAGCCACGCCTTTCCCGGGACTGGGCGCACAGGTGGACGCCTCATTTCTCGTCCCCCAGGCAGCAGCAGCGGAACCGATTGGGCAGCGGAGGAAGTGGGGACGGCCCGTCCGTCTCCTGGTCTCGCCAGACTCGGCCGCCGGCAGCGGTGACCGGTCGAGGAGACGCGGCTAACCGCTCCCGAAACCGCAGCTCCTCGGGTAACTGGGCTGGCGGGAGGTCTGGGCAGGACTGTGGCCGGTGCGCGAGGCTTACACTCTCCATCTCCCCCTAGTGGACAGTTTCCGTAGCCGCTACTCGTCCGCCAGCTCCTGCAGCGAGTTAGAGGATTTCTCCGAGTCCCTCCCTCGAGGGTAAAACTTTGGCTGGGGGAAAGAAAGGACCGCCTCCAAACGAATGTCTGGGGAGATTGGAAACACTCTTTTGAGGGGAGATTGGGTGATGGATGCTGGAGCCTTGAAAGCTTGGAACAGTGCGAGATGGGAGGTGCCCCAGACTTTTCGCATTGGTTCTGATCACCCCCTCCTCTCAGCGTTCACCGCCGCGGGAAGCCGCCCAGCCCCACCACGTGGAGTGGGTTCAATACAGTGAGTGTCTTTCCTGGGCTTTGGAGAAGGCGGGGCAGCATTAAACCACCAGAAGCTCCGCTCTTTTCCTCCCATGATTCCATTCTAGGGGGCCGGGTTGTAAAAGGCGGTTCGGGTTTCCTCTGGAGACCTTCGGGTTGGAGGGGAGAATGACGGTGCGGTGGAGGCTGGCTGTTGTTTAGTCACTAAGTCGTGTCCGACTCTTTGCAACCCCAAGGATTGTAGCCTGCCAGGCTCCCCGGTCCGTGGGACTTCCCAGGCAAGAATACTGGAGTGGGTTGCCATTTCCTTCTCCAGGGGGATCTTCCCGACTCAGGGATGGAACCCGCACCTCCTCCATTGGCCAGCAGGTTCTTTACCACTGAGTCGAAAGGGATGCTGATTAACAGCAAGGCTCTGGCCTCAAATTGCCAGGTCTTAAAACTTGCCTCCGCTTGCTATAACGTGTGTGATTGAGGGAGTTACTTAGCTTCTGTAGCTATCAATAGTTTATCGGCTAAATGGGAATGGTAATAGTATTCACCTCAGAAGGTTCTGGTGAAGATACAAGGCTCTTGTTTTGCATAAGTGCTCAGCAGATGTCACCCCTTATTTTTGTGAGGTCCTTTAGTTCAGAATTTCTGGTGGGGTTTGGGGGGTGCGGGAATAGAGGGTGCCTGACCCCCTTTCCTGCCATCCCCAGCAGCAGAAGTCCACCCCCCTTGAACGTGGTCGCCGTCAGAGACGCCTGGCCAGTTCGGGGAGCTGGGTTCCCATCAAAGGTGAGCCTGGGACTCCACACCTCCGCCTGCCCCAGAGCCCACTGGGACGGTACCGAGGGCAGGATTTTGGGCCCCTTACAGACCCCCACACCCATGCCTGCTCTCACAGAGTACAGCTCAGACCACCAGGCGGCTGACATGGCCGAAATAGATGCCCGCCTGAAAGCCTTGCAGGAATACATGAACCGACTGGACACGCGGTCGTGACCTCGGATGTGGACTACTGCTCCTCCAACTCCACCCACCGCTGGATTCGGTGTGGGGGTGGGGCTGGTGTGTCCTGGCCCCGCCCAGGCCCCCGCCCCTCCTGGTGCTCTTAGGGGTCTCAGGGTGTGAGGCCCCACCCCACCCCCTCCCGTGGGCATGGCATGCTGGGAGGGAGGGTAAGTGAGTTTTGTAAATAAACATATTTGCCTTTGGGATCCCTCAGTTTATGACTGAAGGGTCAGGGTGGAGTGGGGAGAAATGAAGATCTGGTGACTGGAATGGCAGGGTGTTTAAACTGGGACCTGTGTGTATCTCTGGCTATGACTGGGAGGCAGATGGTACAGGTTCCGGAAAGACTCCCGCACTTTCTAAAGCAATGAAAGAGGGGGACCCGAGGGTTGGGAGTGAGCAGCTCATCCCCACAGCGATCCACGCAGAGATGGCTGCACTGGATGTCTTTGGTGGTGAGGTAGAGAGGGGGTGTCTTGTAGTGTGGCTCACTGTCCGGGAGGTGAGGACCCCTGAACTGCTGGTGGTGATGTCTCAGCGGACTTGGTGCTAATTCCTGGCGCTCTGACCTGAGACCTCCGGGTTCTGAGCTGTGATGTTGCTTCCGAGCTGGGATCTCTGGGGTCTTGGGTCAGGGTCAGCACCTCTGGGTTCTGAGCACCAGCAAGGTCAGGGCTCTGGGAGGTGGTGGGGGAGGGGGTGGTGTGAGGCTGAGGTCTGTGGGAGGGAGAGAGAAGAGGCGTATGGCAGGACACAGGAATACAATTTGAGCTTCGTCTTTATTGGGGCAGGGGGAGCCAGTGGGGTTTCTGATGGGATGGGTGGGGTGTGAGAAGACGGGCAGGACCTCACACGCTGCGGTAATGTGGCCACTGCTGGATGATTTTATAGAGCTGGTCCCCTGGAGAGAGCGTCTGCTGCACATCCCGGTGTCCTTTGACCTCGTAGTTAGGAGTCAGGTATCCCTGAGCTGCGCCACAAGCCAGCAGGCTCTGGGCCGCCTTGAGAGCACGGGCCGGGGGCACCCGATCTGGGAGAAAGGCAGGAGTTAGGCTGGGGCTTCCTCCAAGGGCTGAGGGCGTGTGGGCAGTGCTGTGATGTTGCACTGCGAGCTGGCCCACTTGGGCCCAGAACCCGCCTGCCACTGCTCTGTGCCTCAGTTTTCTCATCTGTGAAAGGGGAGAATGACAGCACCGGCCCACAGGGCTAGGGGACGGCAAGATGAGTGACTGTGTATAGAGCCAGCCCTCCGCAAGTGTTGGCCATCAAGATGATCATTTATTCACCCTCCTCTGCCCCCAGACCTTCCCATCCGATCCACAGCAATAGCTGCCACTTATCAAGCACTTCTGGGGCTTCCCTGGTAGCTCAGACGGTAAGGAATCTACCCGCAATGCAGGAGACCTGGGTTTGATCCCTAGGCCGGGACGATTCCCCTGGAGGAGGAAATGGCAATCCATTCCAAGCACTTCTCAGGTTAACCCTAACCCTCCAGTTCATGGACTGACCTAAGAACTTTTATAGAGATGAACTCGTCATCACTGAAACCATGTGGTTGGAAATGGACTTTATCCAAAAGAGGAAACGAGGCTCAGAGAAACAGAATCACGCCTGAGGTCACAGAGCTTGTAGGTGACAGAGGCTCCCAGCCATGACGCACCACGAAGTGCCATCCCCCAGGACCCACGTCAGCCCCCTCGCTGATGGCTGGACACTTACTCATGTAGTTGCCCATGAAGGAGATGCCGATGGATATGGGGTTCCACGTGGCTCCAGAGTGGGCACCTATGGTGTTCCAGCCCCGGCCCTCATACACGAGCCCATCTTCTCCGATCAGGAAACTGTGGGTGGGAGAGTGATGGAGGGCTTCCTGGGGGAGGACTCCTTCTCCCTCCTCTGCTTACCCCACCCCGTCCCTGCCCCTGCCACTCACAATTTCCCCAGAAACCCTGCTCCTTATCCCCTAATCTTCCACAATAAAAAGTGATCCTGGCCCTTGCTATTTGGCAAGCACAGTTCTAGGTGCAGCTTTTTGCATCCCTAACTCCATGAGCTGCCACTGCCCCCATCCCGTAACTACTCAGAGAGGCGGCTGAGTGACCTCTGCCCGAGGTCACACAGCTGGATTTTCACCCAGGTCTCTGTGACTCCCGTCCACATGGTCTGATTCCTTGCTCTCTCCTGCCTCCCTGGAGGATTGGTTGAGCTCTTGATTCGTTGACTTCTCACGTGGAATCCTCTGAGGCAGACACTGCTGTCATCTCCACTTTAAGCTGAGGAAGCTGACTTAGAGTATTTACCCAAGGTCCTATCCTGGAGACTAGTGAGTTCTCAGGACTCTCTACTGAGAAGCTCCCCAGCCTGCTTCCAGCTTCCTCTTCCCTGCTGGGATGCACTTGATTGACAGGATCAGGGACTCGAGGGTTGGCACGGCAACCAGACGCAAACCCTGGAGCCCCAGCACCTGTCTCCTTGAGGCTTCCAATCCTAGAAGCAGATCCTTCAGACGTACTCATTCAGCATGTCTTGATTGAGCGAGTTTGATTGGGCACGTTGGAATTAAGCCCAGGTGGCTGGGCTTCCCAGGTGGCTCTGGGGTAGAGAACCCATCTTCTGCCAACACAGAAGATCTTAAGAGACGCAGGTTCGATCCCTGCGTTGGGTAGACACCCTGGAGGAGGGTGTGACAACCCACTCCAGTATTCTTGCCTGGAGAATCCCATGGAGAGAGGAGCCTGGCTACAGTTATGGGGGTGCAGAGTCGGACATGACTGAGGATCTGAGCACATGCAAATTAACCAGAAGATTGGCTTTTTGGAGACTTGAGATTGGCCCCCTCAGCCCTCTGGCTCATGAGGTGGTCAAGAATGCACAGGACATGGGAATTCCTGATATTGGGTGCTGACATCACCACTTGGGATACCAGATTCTCAGAATACAGACTGAAGAGACTAGAAATACCACAGTGATGCTGACCACCAGGACTGGGCTGGGCATGGCCCTGCCACAGCCCCTGCCCCTGGCACAAGCAACTGGTACTCTCTGTATCTTTGTTAAATGGACGCGTCTCATTTAAACATCAAACACCACCACCAGGTTGGGTGGTCAGGAGCCCCATCTTACAGGTGAAGAAACTGAGGCTCCGAACAAGATGTGACAAGGAAGGGAGATTCAAAACATTGGGATCAGACTCTGCAGCCTAAAATTGGAGGAACAAACTTCAGTCAGGTTTCCTCTAAAGTGATTTAGACCAGAGGCCCCGAAGCCAAACTCTCTGGACTTCACTCCTTCAGGGAAACACTTAGAATTGGACTGCCCAACTCCTGTTAACAAAATTTTGAAGTTGAGACCTTTGGATTGTAATGTCTGGAGCCGGAAGAGCTGGAGATACTCTCGGAGGCTTCTCGATTTCTCTGAGTGAGGTCCTCAGATTTCCTGGCCTCACCCCAGCCCTATGGAAGCATCTCTCAGGATGCAGCCTAGGAGTCTGCATTCCCAGTGAGGCGATTCTGGTGCTTACGGAGGCCCGAGACTCAATTAGAGTACAAATCCGTGTGTGGGACCCCAGCCTAGTCCCCTGGAGAGGGAGCTGGCGAGCGTGGGCCCCAGAGGCAGATCTAACCAATCCCGGCCCCTGTTTCTGCCCTTAGCCCCTGCCATCTGTTCTCCAAACCACAGCCAGAGGGAGTTTCTTGGACCCCAAGCCGGCTGGCATCCCTCTCACGGCTGCTGTCTGACAGTAGAACCGAGGTCCTCCCTGTAGCCCATCTGCCCCCTGCCGACCTCTTCCTCCTCACTTGATATCACTTTCCAGCTAGCTCCAGCCACCCTGACCTCTGTCCCTCAGGCCTGACCCCTTCCCTCGGCCTCCTGGCCTTTACCTCTGCAGTACCCCCAGTTCACTGCCCTGCGGCCCACGGCTCCCTCGTCAATCCCTCTGTTCCCTTTATCCAGCGCTTCCATCACCGTCTAAATTCATCTCGTGGACTTCGCTTGTTTCTCACCTGTTGCTGCCTGCTGGTCTTTACATCCCTCTGGGCTAGATTCTGTGTCCACGGCTGGGTCCCCATGCTAGCCCCTGGCACACAGTAACAGACCATGCATCTGGGGGCTCCCACTGCACGCCAGGCAGTGTTCTAAGGCGTATTGGCTGGCTCAGCAATGGAGTGGCCCACGACCCCGTCGACTTTGCAGAGGGAGAGGACCCTGAAGCTGAGAGAGGGGCATGCCTGCCCCAGGGCTCAACCAGGGGTAAAGGGAGCTGGGACGTAACCCCAACCCCGGCCTCACCAGGCACTAGACTTTACCAGGCGAATCCAGTGCACAGGACTTGTTCCTGCACCTGCAAAACCTCTCCCTTCCCCTGGGGTCAGAGCTCGGACAGCAGCCCCTTCCCCTCCCCCTTGCAGGTCCGCAGTGCCTGCACACGCTCAGCCCTAAGCGGCGACCCTGCATCCGGCATCCGGCATCCGGCGGCTCTAGAATCGGGTCCCCGCGGTCTCCCGTCGCCCCCGCGCGCTTCTCTCCCTACATCCGCGGCTCCAGCCCCTGCCTCCCCTGCGCACTCACTTGTAGCCCACGTCGCACCAGCCCAGCTGCTGCATGTGGTAGTACTGCACGTTTTGGGCCTGCTGCTGGCACGAGGCCGGAGTGCCGCAGACGCTGCCCGCCGTGTGCGACACCACGACGTAGCGTACGGGCTGTCTTAGCTTCTGGCTGCACGTGGACGCCCGGGCTTTCCACTCTTGGCGGGTCACGATGGGGCCGCAGTCTTTTTGAGCCGCCCCGAGGCCCAGGAGGGCGAGGAGGGCCCAGGCGAGCAGCGCGCAGCGGCGAGACATGGCAGGCAGGACGTGCGGAGATGCCTAGGGCGCGCAGCCGGTCCTGGGCCTTTATCTGCGGGGACGCGGTGGGGGCAGTGGGTTGGAGGGAGCCCTGCGGGAAAGGTCTTGCCTCACTCACGCCCGGGAGGGACTCCTCTTCCTTCTCGGGCGGGGCCCCAACAGGATGTGGTAGGGTCAGGTCTGGGCGGGGTGGGGAGAGGGGAGCCTGCTCATCCAGCTGGGAGTCGGGGGTGGGGAGAGGCACACGGGCCCCCCCGGGCGAAACCGTGGTTTCTGGAAGACTCAGTGTCTGGATCTCTCCTCTGCTTTGTCTCTGCCCTCGGTGGGGCATTGGACAACTCACCAGGAACTTAAAACCAGGA